TTATAAAGTAAAGAAAGATATAGAGTTTTGACTTTAAGAAGAGGATAATGAAGTTTAAAATTATTAAAGGCTATCCAGATATAGTAATCCTCACTTAGAAAAAGAAAAGAAGAGAAACGGATTGAAAAGATCCTAAAAGAAAAAAAAGAAAAAAAAAGAAAAAATAAATAAGGAGAAGCTTGAGGAGATGTCTATTCAAAATTGACTTCACTTGAATCAACTTAAGGAAGGAGCTTTATTACATTTTTTAAACTTATATTGGAGTATACGTGGCATTCCTAGTAAAGTTTTCATGAAGTTTTTTTCCATATGAATGTTCTAAATGTCCTTAATATGATTAATTGCAGTTCTTCTTGAAATGAATAGAGATTCAGACATCTTAAATTTGAGTGCTAAGTATTCTGTAAGTATTCCTAGAATTAGAATTTAAATCTAAGTTATTAAAGGGTTTTCCTTAAATTTTGCTATTCTATTTATTAAACTAAAGTATAGAAGTTATAAGTTAATCTCTATCCTAAGTCATATGCTTTTATGTAATAAAAGTGTCACTTAAGGATAAGTAACATTTAAGTTTGGGGGATTTTGATATTCCAAAATAATATACTATTTTAAGTACCTATTTTCTGCTTATTTTTTGTGATATTGCACTTTAAAGAAGGGTATTTTTGTATTTTTGTTACAGGTATATCATTTTTAGGCATTTGGAGAAAAACTGGCAAAAAGAACGAAATTTGGTACAAGAGGCAATTTTGGATTCTGACGCTAGTGGATGATGCACCAAAATCCAGAGAGCTGACGCATGATGCGCCAGGGATGACTTTTTCAAATTAAGGCGGTTCGAGATGAATTTTGCATGAATTTTCAAAGAGACACTTATTCTACACACCTCTTAGAGTAATTCAATGTATCTAGACACTTTGAAAGGTTCTTTTATGAAGCGATATGACTCTTGGATCAAATGACGCATCTTTTAAATTCAAAATAGTTGACTTTTGGAGGAAATGTTTTAGGAAATTTGGAATTCTTTCCAAAGAAGGCAGCCCAAAATAAAAAAAGAAGACTTGAGGAGGCTTGAGTGTGTGACGTGAGGGAGAGAGAGAGAGAGTGGTGTGAGTTAGAAGAGAGAGAAGAGGAGATTTTCTTCTATGGTTGTAAGAGAAGAGGGAAGGTGAGAGATTTATTCTTTATTACATTTCTAAGAGAGAATTGAGAGTGATTGTAAAGAGAGAAAGGCTTGGAGAGAAAGTCTAGGGATTTGCTTGGGAAGGATTGTAAGATAAGTTTTATTTGTATTTCTTTTGTTTTGTAAACTTATTTTTATATATTTAATTCTTTTTTTATCGTATCCTTCTCATGAATTCTGAGTAGTCTTCTTTATCCTTCCCTACTTTGAAGATATGGTTTTGTTAAGAATAGATTATTTTCTATGGTTTTAAATGATAATAATTTGTGATGATTTGAACTCTAATCTTCATTTACATTTCAATCTGACAAATTGAAATGTTAAAACTTATTGAGAGACATTTTCTTAAAAGAGATGATTTCTACAACATAGGGAGAATCACATTTGATTTCATGGGAGAGTATTTCATCTATGGGATTAGGTGCAAATAAATAGTGAAATATACTTTTGTTGGATGCGAAATTAGAGATTTTAAGGTGATAGATTAAAACCCCCAATTTAGTTTAGTTTATTAGAAACTAATGCGAGATTGTTAGCCTGCAGGGGAGGGTGGAGT